TTGAGGTGGAAAGGTTAATCCACACAGCCCATGGGCATCAGGGTGGCAAACAATGTAGAGCCAGGATCTTATGACACCTGGAGTTAATGGGAAGTTTGCAGCCTCCTTTCTAATAATCCTGAGTCTAAAGCTTCTCCCTAGCTCCCAGTAACTCTACAGCAGGGATGTTGTCACAGACATAAAGGCTTCTTAATGTTGAAATTTCACTGAAAAGCCAGTGGAGGACAAGCACTACTGAAGTTTATTTGCAGAAAAATAACAGAGGTCAGAGTAGGTTGAAGTCTGAGCTGTGAGCACTTGTGAACAGAATCCTACAGAAGATGAATAAGAAACAGATGAGAGTTGCAATTACAGAGGTCAGGCTGGTAATGTGCCATCCCATCACCTGGCATTTTGTGGGAACATTTTTAAAAGGCACTTTTCTCAAAGCAAGAACAATTTATTTCACATAAAAGGCTCTATAATTAGAATCCCAAGACTGAAGCCAGGTGTGTTTGTACTTTAGGTAATTTGCTGAGTTCTATTAGCATTTAAATAATCAAAGCTAAGCTTTGAAGTGAGGATGCCAGTCAGATGAGGGAAGCTCATCTCCAGCTGTGCCATTTCCATCTTTGCTAAGAATCAGTGCATGAATTTACAGACCAGGGTAACAGAAGTTGCTGAGGAGAAAAGCCTCCAGTAAAAGTACTCCTACATGGAAAGAAACATGCAGATATCTTTCTCAAATATGTGTGCTTTTGGTGTACCTGCTTTTAGGTGATGTTAGGCAGTAATTGAGATTTGGTCTCGTCCAAGGCTCATTTCTGGCTAGCTTATTAATAGAGGGCCAGTTGTATTTATTCCCCTTGATCATCACACAGATCCTGTTCAGTCTTGCTGCTTTATCCCCTTCCACTCCTGTCTTCAGTACACACAAAACTGAGGATGATGCACATCCTCCCCCAGATCTGCTTTCATTCTCTATCAATAACCCTCTCACCTGACATGATCTTCCTTCATTCAGGTACTGCACCTTCTAAACACACATCTCCTTTCTCTGTCAGGTTCTTTGCTGTGTTGCTTTAAACACACCCACTTGCCAGCAGTTAAAACAGCTGAATGCAAAAATGTGACACGGTTTGGTCTACTGTAACGAAGTTTGCTTCAATTCTAAGCAAATGAAGAGGGCAGACTGAGTGAAATTGCTGTAATATTACCCAGACAGTGAATGAAAGGGACCCTGTCTGCTGCTCTGCCTCTTATAGAGAGAAGGATTACAAAGGTGAGGAAGGGTTTGGTGACAATGCCAGAGAACCATCACCAGAGGAACTTTCAAAGAAGAAAAATCTCCTAAACCCAAGTCTCAGGACATGGTCTACTCACATTGCACAGAAATTTGTATACTGAGAAGAAAAAGTTGTTGTCTGAAGAGCTGCAGCAGACAGATGAACATTTTCAACTCCTCCAACTTGTCTCCCCCACAGAGAAATTATCCATCCCTCAGCCCCTTGGAGGGGAAATCAACCCAGCTCTCAGCTCCTGTGTATCTGAGGCAGAGCAAACAGGCTGAAAGTGCAAAGATCTTTCACTGCATCAACTCCTTCCTAACAGTGATGCAGGGTGGAGGGAGAGGAAACCACTGGAAAAAGGGATGCTGCCAGTAAGGGAGATGACTAAGGGCAACTCTTTGCCTCTGGAGCAGTTGCTGCACTCAGAAGACCCCCAGCTCCAGAGGGGTGACCTGTGGGGGCAGCTGCCACCAGTTCATTAATCAAAGCCAGAGGGGACAGTGCAGCACTTCAGCCCCTGCAGGGATCTGGCAGGAGGCAGCTGAGCTTCCTCCGGGCAGAGTGGGGATATAAGGAGAGACATCCATGGGCAAAGAAGCAATACAGTATTGAGATGACAATAGGGATAGGGAAAGAGAAAGGGCTGGATATAAGGATAGGGATGGGGATAGGGACAGGGACAGGGAAGGGATAGGGATAGGGATAGGGATAGCAAAGAAACAATACAGTCTCCAGATGATGATAGGGAAAGAGAAAGGGCTGGATATAAGGATAAGGATGGGGATGGGGATAGGGATAGAGATAAGGATTGGGATAGGGATAGGGAAAGAGATGGGGACAGGGATAGGGACAGGGATGGGATAGGGATAGCAAAGAAGAAATACAGTCTCGAGATGATAGGGATAGGGAAAGAGAAAGGGCTGGATATAAGGATAGGGATAGGAATAGGGAGAGGGATAGGGACGGGAATAGGTTCAGGGATAGGGGTAGGGACAGGGTGCAGTTCCCGGCTCTCTGCTGCTGCTCGCTCTGCCGCGGGCGGAGGCGCAGGCGGCCGGCGCGGGGCAGTGCGGGGCTGCGCTCCCCGCGGGTACCGCGGCCGGGGCTCCCACCCGCACCCAGCCCGCCGGGGCCAGGTGGTAGAAGCGGAGCTCTCAATCCTTCCTCTCTTCTCCAGGACCTCCTGCGGTCGCTGCGGCAGCTCCGGGAAGAGGAAGGGGAAGCGAGCCTGGGAGCCGAGCCGGGGCTGAGGACGGCTGCTCCGAGTGGGAGCTCCCGGGGCAGGAGAGCGGCCGGGCGGGGGCTCCGCTCCTGGCCTCAGAGCTCCCCAGGCAGCGGAGGGACAGAGCCAGTGGAGGAGCCTCCTGTCCTCCCTCAGACGGAGACTCTTGTGCTGCTGCTTTGGGACGGGGATGGAGAGGAGCGGGGCGCAGAGCGGGCTGGATGCGACCAGCACAGAGCCCGCGGGTGCCGGGGCAGCCGCCGGGAGCTGCCGCCGGCTGAAAGCGTCGCAGCTGCTTCCCTGCAGCTTCTTTCACAGATTTCTCTGCGCTTCTTTCACAGATTTCTGGAGCAGATGGAGAAGCTGAAGCCGGGACCGGCGCCCAAGCGTTTCCTGAGTCTCCGGGCCGGCGTTCAGCAGCCACACCACCAGGCTGCCCTCATGCCCGCCACGGCAGGGGGGGACGGGGCAATAAACTTTGTGCCAAGCCTACATTGCCTTTTTTGAGCGGTTTTCTTTTGGTCACGGTTTAGCAGATGCTCAGAGGGTACAGAAACCCCTTCCAGAGCACTCCTCTCCCTCAGCTCTAAGGGCTCTGTCCCGACCCTGGCCAGAACATCCCCCCCGTTCTGGAAACCTTTTGCTGGAGGGTGGCAGCAGCAGGAAGGATGATGGTTGCATCCTTCCAGGACTGTTCAGGACCCTCCACGCTGTACTGAAGTGGCACTACCAGGCACCTCTGCCAGATCTGGGACCGTGGCAGTGAGCCAGCATGACTTTCCCGATGGTTCCACTGCTGCTACCAGGGAATCCTCCCCGGAGGTGGGCACGGGGCGAGGGTTAATTCCAGGTAGTGTCCTACACACGCCCCTGTGCCGTGGGCTAACCGCTGGTATCAGTGCCAGGCTTGGCACGGCACACCGGCACAGGGGGACTTCTTGGGACAGAGGGGCTCCATCGCTTTTAAAACACACCTGGTGGCGGCTGCCGCTGCAGGGAAGGGCCGCGAGGGCTTCAGCACCTGGGACAGACGCCAATCGCCCGCACGCCGGGCCGCCCGCAGCCGCGCTGGGCAGGGAGGGTCCAGCGAAAGAAGGCGCTGAGATAATGTATCACGATCACCGGAGAAACAAACGATCCGTGTTTAGCATGAAAATTAATTTCCCCCCTTGGAAAAAGTGAGGCGCCGCTTCATTGCAGGATGGCCACTCCGGATATTTTTATATTTCTGCTTTGATTCTTGTCTGATGGCCTCATTGATTAATTTCCTTCTCAATCTAACTATCATGCAGGGAATGAGAGTCTGGGTGGGGTGTGGCATAGTTTTGTCAAAGGTTTTGTCACTGGGAGACGAAAGGAATCCAAATCCAGCCTCTTCCTCAGAACAGGAGGCTCTGTGCAAACAGCTCACACTCCCCAGCCCAGAATGGCAGCAGGAGAATGGACACAGTGGAAGGATGTGCAGCAGCTCAGGGCAGCACTTAAGGCAGGTCTATCCATCAGCAGATGGAACCCACAAGGCAACAACCCCCAGGGTTATGGTCCTTAGCCTTACAGGGCTGAAAACCAAGGAATCATCTTGCTGGGGAAGGGGCAGCATCACCTCAGCTGAGCTGTGTCCATCCTCCTCGTCACAGGATCCACACACAGGCTGCCAGAGGCATCTCTCTGATCTGAACAACCAGAGCTGCTCTAACGGAGCCTCCTGCACCACACCTCCCACCCCACACCCTGGGAATGGGGGAAATGTGCCAGATTCCCAACCCCAACACCAGTCACAGTAAGCTTTTCAGAAGAACCTGCTGCCCTGTTAAGGCAGACATTTCACTAGGGAAATGCCAGCTGAGCACGGGCAATGCCTAGATCATGACTCTCTACTGCTGGGCAATAAAACCTAAAGTTCATATTAATTTACCAGGGTGATAAGACCGAGATAAACAAGTGATTTTTATAGCTTAACAATGATGAGCTGAGTTCTGACATTTCACACTCCATTTGCTTTGGCAGAACTGCAAGATGGATAATTGAGGGCAGAATTTGGCTGTGAAAATACAACTGCTACTGTGACAGGCAGCCACTTTATCCCATCCCTACACTTCACTACATTGTACATGGAATAGGGCACAAAAGATTCCTGTCTTAGAAAAGTATTGTCAAGGCTGAAGTCATGCTGCTGCATCTTATTTATCTGCCATGGGACACAGAAGATGAAAAAGAACAAACCAGTAAATACTATCTTGGGGTCTGACTTAATGACTAAAATCCTGCATAATTAGATTGTTTCACAGGGACAGGTTACTCAAAGCAAAATATTTCACATCTGAGATTAATGTTGTGTCCCTCAATTTCTTGCTGCTGGGTTTGTGCCCCAGGGGCTGCTGTACAAAAAACAAAACAAAACAAACAAACAAAAAAAAAAGACACAAAGGAAATCTCAGAGCAAACTACAAAATATTTTTGTACAGAGAGCACTAGATAATATTTAGTGTGTGGGGGCTGTGAAAGGAAAGAAACAAGAAATAGAACAATAACAGATTCTAATTATCTTAAATTGGACACTCAAAATGAATGAATAATTCTGGTTTATCTTCTCCAACTTTTGCAGTTTACAAAACAAAGTAACACCTTGGCACAAACAAACACACACAAACCAAGAGCAGCAGGAAAAGAATACTTGTAACTAATTAAAGAACTATACAGACACTGCAGTGTAGAATGTTAATTGTAAAAAATAAGCTATAAATAAGCTATCAGGATCTTAATTCTTTTTTAAAAGCACAAAATAAGAAAGTGTTGGAGTACACAATAATACAAAAAAAACAGTATTGACTTTATGTTCTGAAAAAAATAAAGCATTGAGGAAAAACAGAGCTCTTACAATAAAGGGCTTCATCGGAACATACACAGAGTTGGGCTGACTTCAGGCTATATTAGGAAGAAGTAGCATTTGAGCATGACTTCACAACCTTGAGAATGTCCTTTCTAGTATAATTTTGGTAGCTGATCATGTGAACAGTATGTGCACATGTTTGTACATAAACACCACGTTAAGACTTTTAAGACATGGGAAATACTTTATCATTCTATTATTATTTTGAAAATGTACTCAGGAGATTCTTTCAAGATTTATGTTCATATGAACAAATTATTACAACAAATTATTACTAGACTGACATTCAACTTACTCCTACATTTGTTGTTTCAATTTAAAATAACACGAAACATTTAGAAAATGCAAAAAAAAAAAAGCCATTGTTTCATGATTTAGAACTCTCTTGCATTTCTGTAAAAAGATTCCATTTTAGTTATACTATATGTACAAAGACAAAAATGGAAGAGAAATTTGAAGCATTTCTGTGCTTTTTAAATTTCTCATCTAAGAATAGGCAGTTTCTAGCTAATTTTAAGACATTCAGCACTCAAACAAATAAATACTTTTAGTTTGTAATATATTATATTTAAGATTTTGTTTTAACTCCCCACAAAACTCACATATACACAAATTCATCCATTCTTTCTTTGGGATCGATTCTGAATAACACCAGCTATCTATTTAAGCTCTCATTGAACAAGTTTCTTTCTTGTACGACGGTAAAATAAGTATATTGCTGAAACTGGCTGCCTGTTCCTTAAATTTTATTGATGCAGGGTCAAGCCTTACCATCAATGCTCAAAGAAATCCCATTATTTAAGCATTTGGCTGTTAATAACCGTTAGTGTTTTTCAGTGGTGCCGAAGCCGGTGTCGCGGAGGGCTGGAGGTGCTCGCTCTCCCCACAGTCAGTCTGCACTGAGGTGCAGATCGAGGTGCTGCTCTTGTTGGTAACACACAAATACAAAGTCTCAGTGGTGATATCACCTCAGTAGCAAAGGGAAAAGTGGCCCAAATCTGGGATTTTCAGCACACTTGCTGGGAGGTGGTGGCCGCGCTTATTCCATATGAGAAGGAAAGTGTGCACAGTACTTTAGGTGTCCTGAAAGACAATTTATCTTCATTCTTGATTCTTCACCAAGTACTGATCTGAATGCCTGTTGTTTCCCCTGTAAAAGGCAATTTCCTTACGGAAATCTTCTAACTGAGCAAAGTTTAGAGCAGTTTTGGGATTGTTTTCCATCTCTGTACATCTGACCATAGGGGTCTCTTGAAAGAGAATTGCTAAGAATTTCCAACTGGACTATGTAATCACAGCGCCTGGTATCAAGAGGAGGGGGAGTGACATGAAATCACTGACTTGTGACATACATTCCTCAGCAGCTGCTGCCTAATGACAGCTAATAAAGGGAATCTTCCCTTGACAGAGCTGCATGCCTGCAGTGGGACTGGAATGTGCCCAAGATAAACCCACTGATAACCTAGGAAGCAGGGATCACCCAAAGAGTATAAAAGACAAGCTTCAGAAGAGAGACAACAGGACAAGGAAGAAAGAGACTTGAAGGGACATCTCAGAAGAAGCAGCTTGAACTTCCCTACTGCCAACGAAGTCAGCGCCATGGACACTAAAGGCTCATTTTTCTATGGCTTCCTTTTGCTGCTGCTCATCCAGCTCCAGTCCAGCAGAGCCAACCCTATCTACAGCCTCAGCCCTGCCAAAGAACTGGCCAGCATGGAGGTGAGGACTCTCATTTTGCAAGGTTAAACTTCTGGGGGGCTTAGCAGAGTGTGAGGTGGTGCTTTGCCTTCCTTTTGCATGATTGGATTGCAATAACCACATCAGGGGGACAAAGCCTCAGCTTTTCAAAGGGGTTCAGAGAAGCTCTGTAGGGCAATATCCTCCCGTGCTGGGTTCACCTGAGCTCCTGGGCAGTAGTGGGAACCAAAATCGTGATGTTGCAGGATGCCTGCTTTGGTGTTTAGGTTCTATTTCTTTTAAAGATACATCTTCCTGGGAACAAAGTTCCAGGGAAGGAAAAAATCATCAGAGTAGCTCCATAAGAACAAATAGAAAACTCTGAGGTGGGGTCCTGTCTGTATGTTTACCCCTGCTCCACAGGGCAGCCATATGGCTCTAGCTTTGTGAATTTGAGAGATCTGGTTGGGTATGGATGAGAGATGAGGAGGTAAAGTGGAGCACCCAAAGACAAACTTTTAGAACTATTACTAGAGGAATAGCACAATCATTTAGTACGGCTCATCAAGAAAAGCTTCCAGAGCCATAAAATTACCTCTAAGCATTTTAACAAATAATAGAGAAAATGCATTGTTACAGCACAGTACAAACTTGAGACTCTGATAGGATCTGAAAGCTCAAAGCTTTCCTTGGGCTGGTTGGTACCAGTAACCAACTTCTCAAAGCTGCTCTCAGGCCCTAAGAACAAACTCCCTGAGCTGATAAGGACAATCAAAGCTAAAGCTGCCTCTGGGCTGTTTCCTGCAGCCAGGAAGAGTGCCTTCCAAATGCACTCACTGTCAGGCAGGCCATAAGGCTCATTCCTCTATGTTCATATTCTAGAGTCGGGCAATTAGATTCCTCTAATTGGTTGAGCTGCCCTTGAGGAGGTTATCTGACCCCAGTTATACAAAGCTTTACAAATTACAAAGAATGGCACCCAGAAGGCAATCACACAGCAGGCACGAATTTACCATACAGGTATTTTCAGTACTTTCAGGAGTAGCAATCCTGTAATCCCTGGGACAGAGATTAGTGAAAACACCTAGAGCTTCTCTAAGTGATGTCCATTGAAATAGCCAGGGGTGACAAAGCAGCAAAGTGAGAACGTGGGAGTGGGCTATGTGGCTAGAGGTTCTCTCAGACTGTGTACCACCAGCGGGCTGAGTGGACCCTGTGCAACCCACATCCTCTATTTTCTTCTCTGCCAAGATGTCTTCTAAACTTGCCAGTAAGGTACACATGATGGCAAGCAGCTTCACTCAGTCCACAAGGTGAAGCTATGTCTTCCCATAGATGGAATTACTGGGAGCAGGGATATAATGCAGAGGACAGAACCCAGTGACCACCAGGAAGGCTGGGATCCAACCTGTCAGTCTCCCTAAGGTGGGCTATGGGACCATCTATGAATACAGAACAGAAGGACTGGAAGAGTTAGCAAATGACCACGAAATAAGGAATTTCATTAATTTAATCCTTCTCTTACAGGCTCTGCTGGAAAGACTGGAGGATAAGTTTGCAATGATGGAAGCCCTGGAGTCCAATCCCGACCTGCAAGAACCCAAAAGCCAGGAGGAGATCCTGTCGGAACTCGCCGATGACAGTGACAACCAGAAGGCTGAACCCAGGCTTGCACCCAACACCCCTCTGTCCTACAGGGACCCCTTCCTCAAGAGACTGAGGGGGCTGCAGATGCCCAGGATGATGAGAGATTCTGGCTGCTTTGGGAGGAGGATTGATCGGATCGGCTCCCTGAGTGGGATGGGCTGCAATGGTGAGTCCTGTCTGAGCCATTCCACTGAACAGCACGGACCGTGTGCCATGGCACAGGGAAGGAGCAGCTTCTCGTTTCAGTCTTTAAGACACAGTTTCAGAATTAATTTGAGCCTAGTATTTAAGTTAGTATTGGTTTTTCAAAAGCACTGCTGACAACGGTGACACGCACAAAGACAAAAACAGATTCTAGTAACGTTTATTTCATGTTTGGTTTGCAGGTTCCCGGAGAAATTAGGATCAACCTCCCTAGAACCTGCTCTGAAGAATGCTTTACAGTACCCCTTCCTCCCAAGATGAAAGCCAGATGCTTTCTAAGCTCCTCAACAGAAAGTTATTCCTATTTTTATTTATTTATTTATTTATTTATTTGATGTTTTTTAAAGAACATTTCTTACGTTAGCACTGACAGACCATCTTTAAATAAAACTAACACATTAGACATCTGTGCTGGACCTCTCTCCTGTCTGTTGCATTAAATTTTCTTGTATTTGCCTAAAGTCAAAATCTTAAGTTTTATTGATATTCTGGTACCCACAAGCCTGGATCTTACTTACATGAGACAGAGAAAATTTAGTAAAAATGAAAATTAGTTTTTGACTAGAGGCTTTTCCTCTGCAGTAAGAAATGCTAAGAGGTTAGCAGGAAAAAACAACTTGCTTAACACTCAAAGATCATCATGAGTTCTCCTATAGACAGGATTTCAGTGATAAGAGAGTCCTTTTGCTGGTTTAAATTATTCAGTCATGGGAACTGCCACAAATGCCCCACGTAACCAAAAGTTACATGAAAAGAAATAAATAAAATCATACCACTCCACAAGTTTCAAGATAACCAGAGGGAGGAAAGGGAATTCATTGTATATGCTTTCTAGCAGTGACCAAATAAAGGTTACGAGCATCAACAGAAAGATACATCATTAACTGTGTCTTGTCTCACTCTGCACGTGGCTGAGATGCTGATTCCCAGAATTTCTTGAAGGATCCTCAAACGTTTGAATATTATCATGATATTCCTCATGAGAGGGTAGGTGGGATCACTGAACTACAGAGCAGCATTTATCACTTTCTGGGAGCTGTTCTAACATGGCTAATGGGGACACTGCAAGTCTGGTTAAGGTTTATTTAACCATGGTTGCTAGATTTCACACCTAGGAGCTGAATTTGACCCAAAACATATTTTAGCACCCCACCAAAGAAGGAAATATTGCCAAAACCACATTCAGTCAGCACCCCAAGGAACAAAGCTTGGATCCTCATGTGAGCCCCAGCAATGGCATCAAGCCCAGCTCAACACAATTGTCCTGTGGTTGACTGCATGTACTGCTAGGAACTGTGTTATTTTGAGCACCTCATGAGCCTCATTCCCAGAATCTCAGTGTATTCCCAGGTACCTGAGTACCCTGAGAAACCTGTTCAGGGCTTAAGAAGGCAGCACCAGCACAGACTCAGCTGGAACAATCCAATTCTGACTTTGCTTATGCAAATGGTGACAGAAAGAGTAGCTGGTGAGGATAAGGAATTGTAAGGCAGGTGTTCCAGAGCTGCTGACAACAGCTCTCAGGGACACAGCTCCAGGGAAAGGGTAAATTCAAGCACACACCCCTCCTTGCACAAGGCCAGTCACAGCTAAGGCTGCTGCAACACTTCAATAGGGCTCATGTCACACATCACTTTTGTGACAAGCCACCCTCCCAGTCACTCCTGGCAGTGCTGACATGGCCTCCAAGAGGGATCTGTGTGCTCCTCTCCACACTGGGCCTTGTGATTCTTTCCCAGGGAAGAAGGGCAGAAGTCCAATCTGAGGGAATAATTTTGCTACACTCCAACAACAGTGTGATACAAATTCTCTCCTTCCAGCAGCACCAGCTACAGATAAAATATTTTGTGGAATAGTGGCCACACAGGTTTCCCTGACAGAAGAATAACTTCCCAGATTAAGATTCCCAGCAGCATCGGGATCTGTGTGCTCCTCTCCACACTGGGCCTTGTGATTCTTTCCCAGGGAAGAAGGGCAGAAGTCCAATCTGAGGGAATAATTTTGCTACACTCCAACAACAGTGTGATACAAATTCTCTCCTTCCAGCAGCACCAGCTACAGATAAAATATTTTGTGGAATAGTGGCCACACAGGTTTCCCTGACAGAAGAATAACTTTCCAGATTAAGATTCCCAGCAGCATCCATGGGACACCTCTGCAGTGAAAGAGACAGTGACTTTGCATTTACTCAATTTCACAGATCACAGGGGTGTGAAGTCACCCTTTGGGGAGCCCTTGAGGGGACAAGGGGCTTTGTCTTCTTAAAAGGCTTTCCAAACACACCCACTGCAGCCCGATGGGAACATGCAGGTGGGTCCCTCCACAGCAGCAATGGGCAACAGCCTGACTTCCCCTGTGCTGCTGAAAGTAAAAACAATTCATGTACTCCAACAATAGCTCTTGCTGAAGCTGAATTTTACCCAGTCAAGCACAACTTGCACAGACACTGTAAATTGTCCCTCCCTGTCAGCCCCTCAAGGCACAAAGCACTGATTAGTTGAGTGGAATGTGCTAAAAATGGCAAGAAGAGGCAATGCTTCCTGACCTAAAGCCAGGTGGGTCCAGTATTAGCAGCAAGCCAGTTCCTGGTGGAACAAGTCTGTATTAGCTTGCAGTCAGTAAGTTAATAGACCCTGCAGTCTGGGAGAACCTAATTGAGGGTAAGCAATCGAGGAAAAAAGCATCTCTGACTGGATTTTTACTGCTACTCCCATACACACACTGAGCTGTAAAGCACCCTCAGGGAAATCTTGCAGCCAGATCAGAATAGTGCTGCACTCAGGAGTAAGCCCTGGGAAAAGCTGAATGGGACAAACTCGACACTGATCAGCTCTACAGCAAAGAACATCACCCCCAAGGAAAAAAGCTGCCACTGGTGATGTGAGCACTGGATCAGAGAGAGCAGGGAACAATCTTGTGAACAGCTATTGCGTAAATGAAGAAATATCCCAGTGGGACCAGAGAGGGACCAGGCTAACACCCTCCACACAGCTATAATGACATTTTCCACCTCCTGCCCTGCCAGACTTCATTCTAGCTCCTGAACAGCGTTTGGCAGTACCCATTACTGCCCATGCATAACTGAGCAGCTTGCTTTCCTTTGGAGTCTGAAACACAGTAACTCCATTAGTGTGCTCCATGCACGCTGTAAGGCTGAGCCTTGTTTGAATAGGGGTCTGCTTGGCATGGTGTACATTTGCAAATTAGATTTGATGGTTTCTCTGCCCCTCAGACACTGCACTATCCCTTATCCAGCTTCCCTAAACAAAATGCTTCCACTGAAATCCAAGTTGGCAGGCAAGAATGCCAAGAGGAGCTGTCAGCACTGCTTGGTTTCTCTAAGAAATCATATGTCAAGTACAGGGCACACACCCTGCACTGCTGCAGGGAGAAGTGGAGCTGTGCCAGTTCACATCCCAGTCCAGCCACAACCAGCTTGCTTGATTTACTTCTCCTGAATCTTGGCCCCCAAAGGCCTTTGTTGATTGACATCTGCTTGATAAGCGTGTCCCACACTTCTATGTGGGAAAGAAGGAAGATTTGTAAGATTTCCCCCCCTATTACCATCTCCTGACTGCTCTCAGAAAAAACCAGCACAATCCCACACATAAAAAGCAGAGTGGGGAGGAGGTAAAGTTTATGACAACAGAAAGTGGTGGGAAGGCAACTAGAGTCATGCCTGCTATGCTGGGAATTGGGAGACAAGAAAAGAAGAATAAAATAGTTGTGTTAATTCAGCTATCCCAGAGAGATATTCTCTGGTATAGGCATCAAAGAGCTGCTGGGAGAGTCAACAAAAGTATCAAGGTTGTCATGTCTTAGCTGTTAGTCATGAGTTTTCAACACAGTATTGTTTTCTACTGAAACTGGTATATATGGGTTCCAGTCTCTGCTTTAAAATGCTTAAAGTATCAGTAAGATGTGTGCTGAACCATACCCAGCCCATACAGCAATCGAAACAGCCTGGAGAAAGGGACATCCTACTCACTTTTAAAGTGTTATCTCAACATCCAAACCTCACTGACAGACTCCCCTCCCTTCCCAGACAGCAGTGGAGCTCACTGACGTCTCATCCCAGCTCCCAGTAAGCCTTTTCAGACACTGCATTTGAACAGTGGATGCAGAGGAGACTCTGTGTATCCCACTGCCACTGAAAAGCCCTTCAGCACCCTGGACAACAAGAGCAGCTTCTCTCTTCTTATACCCCTGCAACAGCCAAAGCTCCAGGCAGCCATCCTCCGTTCCTTCCAGTGCCTGCTGCATGATTCACAACTGGGAATGCACATGCCTGTATGGGAATGAACACACACTGAAGAGGCAGCTTGTATCCTGCTAGCAAAGCAAACATTAGAAGAAATAATATTAATGTCACTGAACACCACTAATTTTTTTCTGCTAGAGCCCCAGTGTGTCACTACAGGGACAATGACACATGCTTGGATCCAATGAGTCTGTAAACCTCTCCCATTCCCTCCTATGTTGCTGCATTTACAGTCAAAGGCAGCACAGAGCTGAAGCAGAGTTCCCCCAGAGTTCTCCTGATGACTCCTCCCTACCCCTGTCACAGTCATATTTTCTGAAAAATCAAAAAAAACCCACATGGAAAGGTAAGTTGCTACCATTGGAATGGTTCACAGTAATTAATAATTCAAAACTGCATAATTAACACTGCACAGGAAGCCACGAGGCAAGGAGGAAGGCCCCAGACCAAGCCCCTAACCTTGCCATCAGAACTAACCCAGTTCTGGGTTATTTTTCCCTTAGTGTTGCTCTGTTAAAATGTTCCTGGCACCTATGTTAGAATAAGTTTCTTAGTAAATCACTTAGCAACTAGAGCCAGGGTAGAAGCAGTAAGTGTGTTGTAAGAAAGGAATTAAGTAACTGAAGTGTGAGAAGACTGATTCAACACAAACCCCTTGGCAGCAGTCCTCATCAGAAGAGAAATACTGCATCACCAAATGTCAGGTGAACTTGTAATTCCTTTTCTGCAGGCTACAGAAAGGTAATTGCACACTGAGATTTCCCTTTAAAGCAGCTGACAGGGTCACCCACCATCCTCATTGAAAATGTCTTTACTGAAAGAATTAAAGGGTGTTTTTCAGCTGAAACATTTGAATAAGATGCCCAGGCAGAGCAGACAGTGCTGCCAACAGGTTGAAAGCAAAGTGCCTTCTCATGGGGAAGCATCTGGTGCCCACAAAAACCCTGACAAGATTCTCCAGCCTGATTTGTCTGGATTGACCAACTCTAGTCTCAGCAGCAATGACAAAGACATCCTGCAGCAAAACACCCTGCTGTTTGTGTACAGAAATAAAAGAGGACAAGGCAAACAACCTAAGGAGTCTTATTCATGTGCAGGAAGAGAAGGAACCTTCCCTTCCACACACCCTCACTCAACATGAGCAAGAGGAGAAACATTTGTCATGGGGAGGCACAGGACATTCTTGACAGGTGTTCTAACAGTACAGGATTGCCAATTCCACCTAAGTGATCTGAAGTCCCACAAAACCAGGATTCCTATGATTCATAATTACCCAGGAGCACAAATCCTTTGAGTGAAAGGTAGCCTAACATAAGCATATTTCAAACCTACAGCCCAGCTTCAGGGAGTGCAAATGGGTGCTGGAAGTTTGCTGGGACAGCTCAGTGTAAGACCAGTGCTCAGGGAACACAAGCATTTCAGACAACACCTGCAGAGACTATCCAGACAGAACAAACATCTCTACTCTACTTACAGGGAAAGAACTTGCAAATCAAGGGTAGTAGCTGATGCCAATTCCTATGCTCTAAGGAAATACAGAAAATCAACAAAGTCTGCCTTCTGTCCCAATTCTCACCTAGCCAGCTCCTTATGGCAGACAAGAGGTTAACTGGAGAGCTCAGAGGCTGTGTAGAAGCTTTTCTGGAATACATTCCCCATGCAGCTTGTCCCAGTATCTTGGCTGAGAGAATGCTCTGTGCTTTATCAAGCCAATCAGCCCTGCAGTCCCTGAGGCACAGCACTGGCTTCCCACTGAGGGTTATCTGCACAGAGAACTCAGGAGGGCAGGTGCCTGCTGGAACAATGCAGGTGCTGGCCAGGATGGTACCTGCTAAAGCACTGAACTGGCTGCAACTGGCTCCTAAGTGCTGATCTTACCCTTACAGATTGCAAACATTATCCCAAGCATTTTTAGAGCACAGACAGCCCCACTTATTACCTGCAGGAGATCCTGCCTTAGTCACCAGCAGCAAGTATCCCTCCTTATGGCAGCCTGAAACTACAGCAACTCCTCTTATGACACAGAGATAATTCAACCAAGCCCAGAGACCACCAGTTCTATTTGCTTCCACAAAGCAACACTTCTCCAAGCTCTCAGGATGTGGAGTTCCCTGGTCTCTGACTCCAGTTGGAAAGGTGCCCCAGGCTCTCACTGTTTAAGCAGCGCAGGGACAAAGTGCCTACAAATGCCAAGAAATGCAGGAATGTCAAAGTGGAGTGCCACCAAGCATCTTAGAAGAGTCTCTTACAGGGAGATAATAGTAACAGCTAACAGGGAAGAGATCTCCTTTCTCTGAGATGTTCACAAGTGTACTAAATATTTATAAACCCAAACAGTAACAGAAATGTAACCATTTTGAACTCTGAATCTGCTGAGCTACTCTCAAAAGTTACCTGATGTCAAAAATATCACAGCAGAAACATTTCCCCAGGAAAGGAGAGAAATTAAGAACAAATGAAGCCAGAGTGAAAAAATATGGGCAAAGGGGAACACTTGCAAAGACAGGTATATTTCCAAAATGCTGGATTTTTCAATACTGCTTTTGCAAGAAACAATCCTCAAGAGCAGCTATCTGATACCTGCAAACTTCAGTATCTCCTCTCAGTGGTGACAGTAACTTCCTTCTCACACAAATAAGGCAACAGTTGCAGGAGCAAGGGAGGAAGAAGAAAAGGGAGTCACACAGGAGGAAGGGAAAGATACTGCAGTTCTTTGCCCAGGACACAGTGGAGGGAAATGGTTCTTTCTTCCAACTCTTCAGAAAACCCCAAAATAAAATGGCAGAACACACAGTGTCAGGACAACATCTGATGGAAGGAGATAACAGGGGGACAGGGGAAGAAAACACCTGGATCAAGAGTTGTCAAACCAAGTGCCTGAGGCCAACCAACAGCTCTGGGCTCAGGCAGCTCCTCTAATTCTCTGGCTAGCAAAATGTTTCCCAGTTCCCCAGGCTTGATATGCACGTGAGAAGCCAAACGGGAGGTCTTGGGCCTTGTGTTGTCCAAGCAGAATGCGAGCATGTGTGCCAGCTTGGAGAGGGAGGAAGCCACACTGACAGAGGGGCAGGGGCATCAAATGGTCTGATAGTGCTGCCTCAGTCTTGCCTGCAGGAATTCATGGGTCAGGTTGTGCCGAGTGATTATCCCAACAACCTTAAACAGGAAGAAAAGAAGAAAAGATACAAGTCTGTATCAGAGATGTGCCACTGAAAGACATTCATAATAAAGTGGTCATTCTTTTCAACACCCCAAAAAGAGGAAACCTGAGAGCAGTTCTTGACCAGTGTTGAGTTAGAGCGGATTCAAGTTGAAATTCACAGAAACAAGGTTTCTCCCTCTACCAACACTTACTCTTCAGGCAAGAATGCTGATTTACCTACACCCAAACAAACAGCTTAACCATTGCTGTGGTGTCTGGCACCAGTAGGATCCTCTGCCTAGGAAGGGAAATCCCTTCTATGTCAGACAGCATAAGGATGTAAAATCCTTTGGGAAGTAAAAACTGCAATTGGAAATAACAAAGCTGTCTTTTAGGGCTTCATTTAAGACATTTCTGGTATTATACATGACATGAGTTCAGATAGCTCCTGTCAGATACATTCAAGGAAGCTCTCCAGACCAAAATAGAGAAATGGTCAAGACTAGCTAAGAGGTGACTGCACACTGGCAGGTGACAAGAGGGACCCTCTCCCAGCCTGCTGTGGTCAAACCACACATTTCAGCTGGTGAAACACCTCTCTGATTTTACACATGGAAAGAGTTTAGAACTAGGCTGTTCTCTAGTACCACAAGAGCATCTTGTACTAAAATGGAATACGCTAACATCTCGTTTGCAACTCACAGGCCCTGCAGAGTAACTGTGGGGAACCTTGAGGCAGAAAAAGCAGTGCTGCCTCACACAGACCAGGTCAGGCTTAGGGGAAACAGTTTCTCATAGTGGTTATAGGAGGTTGCTGACATCTACTGACTGTTTCTGAGCATTGTAGACGGCAAAGGGGCAGTGAGTCAAGCACAGATATTTAAACATTCCTTTGCTTTGCTGCTCCTGTGAGTAGAAATAGAATACAACTCCCTTCCTACAGAAAAACCTCTTGCCCCAACATATAGGAAATTTTGCTCTTGGCCTTGAATAAAGCCGTGAAAGGAAAGGCAAATTAGTGGCCTCTGATGAGCTCAGGGCCTCTCAACAGATAGAAAAATGGGACATCTTCTACAGGCTGCACACCTGAGACAGGAGAGATGCACATCCTGCTCTTTGCAGGTAAAGGGGAAACAGGCTAGGACACAAAAGATGCCAACAAAGTCACAGCAATCAAGCCTTCAGAGCCCTAAAAAAATCCTATTCTGATCTCTTTAAAGCATTTCTGTTTGATGTTAAAAGAGATCTTAATTGTCCCAAAGATGGAAAATGTTGCATAAACACTGTGGCTTCCTTGCTCAGCTAAGCCAAGACAAGGACTCACCTCTCCAACTGCATTCACAACCGGTAAATGCCTGAGTCCCATTGTCCTGAACAGGTTGAAGACTTGTGACACATGAGTATTTGGAGAGACAGTAAAGGGTGATGGGTTCATGTATGGGGTGACATCCTAAGAAAGAAAAACAATCATGTTATTTACAAGAGGCATTTTCAATGTCTCTGGGAATCACTAACATGCAAATCCTACAAGTCCTCCAAGGCACTGATGCCTGGACAGAGTACTTGACTGTGGTCATCTTATATTTCTGCAGAAATATGACACTATTTTGGTTTGTTGAGAAGTTAAACTGACAGGCAACACTTTATTCTAGAAGTAAAGCACCAATGGACACTGTTACCTCATAGCAGGGGATTTCCACATGCAGTGAAGGCTGAATGCTTGAGGAGCACAGGATGTTGGTCACTGTGCCAAAGAGTGTATTAAAACATGCCCTCAATGTTTTTCAAAGGCTTTGGACAGTTGTAAATATATATGAGGAGGGACTGTCACACTGCAGTGCATATCTTACCACTATCATACGAGGGTTCAGCAATGTGAGGTCCAGATCATGGATGTCTGGATAGTGGGGATAATCCTCTAACATCTCTGCGTGGGACAGACGAGGCTGACTTGCACTCTGCAATTCAAAGAAACCCCACTGAACCCGTGTGTCACCATTCCAGACAACACAGGGGCTGCAAGCAGCACAGCAAACCATGCCTCCTAATTGCTCCCCCAGACCTCTTCCTCCTCCCACACCCACACACCCACCTTCTGCAGAGGTGCTGTTACCCAAACCTATGCAGGCCTTTAGCTGGGAGAGAACAGACCTGCTCCCCAGTCTCTGACAAATCTACACTCCACACTGAAGGGCAGCAGGAAACCAGCCTTGTGGGAGCTGGACCTCAGATACTCTCACTGATCTCAGTCACACAGCTGACATTTTTCTGCTAGGACCTCAACACACAGCAGTAAAACACAAAGTATATACTGCTGGATGCTCTATTTGCATTCAATATCTGCCCTCTGTTCTCCAGTACTGCATATCTTTATGCCATATATTCATATCATATATTCTCCATAGCTTTATGCAACAAACAGGTCTGCTGGATTACTTTTTTAACAGTGACTATCCTTTTCCTGGGGATATTTTCAACTTCCTTTACTCTAAGAGCTGCAAGGGAGAATTCATATTACCTGTCCGCAACTTTAAAATACACATGCATTCCTTAAAATGTAAAAGTAGATATATTCTTTTTGGCAGCCCATGAATAGTGTTCCCAACCTCCTGAGAAGGCAGGGATGTCTCTGCTGCAATTCCTGAACAGAAGACTCACCGACTGGCTCTCAGAGTAGCAAACCCCCCGGTCAAGAAGGGTGACCAGCTGCGAGCGCAGGATCAAGCCATGGAAGGTCAAGGGTCTGAAGCGTTCCTCCATGGTCCACTCCTCACTGGGAGACTGGTCAGGGTACAGGTTGGGGTAAGGAGTGTATCTGTGATGGATTTAACACCAGGTGTTACAAGCTTCACATACCCCAACTCCCAAAAGAGCAGCTATTTCAGCTCTTTGCAACTTTCCCCTGAACATTTCAGGGACTCTTGCTAGGGACAAGCAAAAGACTTCACAAAAAAAAAAAAAAATAGGGGAGAGAGGTCAAGAGCCATTATGTGGCCAGAGCAGCAGAACGGGACAGTCTCCTAACTCAATTTCAAATCACTTGCTATTAAAGCAATTTTCAGTGCCAAATTACTCAGATTCTAATAAAAGCTGAAGCATCTGGCAAAATATTATCCTGGGTCAGGATGCCATTCATGAAAGTGAATGGCATCATCACCATCACTGATGTAGAAAATTATTCACTAGACTGGGCTTCTACTTGGAAGTAACAGCAACACAATCCTGGTGACTCAGCCCAGCTACCAGAAAGGTGGGATCAGTATTATGGCACTAGGTCATTAGCTGGGTAAAGTTTCCAGAGCTCTCCCATTTTTGCAGACAAGAGGACATTGATTTCTACAGAAATCTTCCCAGGAACTTCATCTTCTCAATGAAATATGTCTGTACAAGTGTTTGAAGGAAACGTAAGAAGTTGGACACAACCCACTTGCATGGGACTTGGTCCCATGGGTGTGAGACACAGCATTGGCTCCTCAGACCTGACAAATCACTTCTAAAACATGGCTATCAGCACTGTTTCTGTTGACATATGGAATGACAGAGACTGTGTGAAACGTTCTTTACAACACATCTCAACATATGGAAAAACCCTGCTTCCGTACATTTGTGTCTACCAGGACCTCACCTTCTCTCCAACATCTGTTGCAACAGATCCTCTTTTTCAGGAGGCTCCTCTGTTGCTATGTGCTCGTCACACATGTTACGCAGCTCACTCGAAGGGTAGGATTTCATGGACTGGCTTCGCTTGCGCTGCTCTCCAGCTCGGGTGAGGATGCTGGATTTCTGCATACAACAAACAATTTTCAGATACTCACTAGGCAAGCCAACAGTTATCCAAGAGTGACCATGAACTACTAATCATAGCGTTGTGCCACCACATAACATGCTCATTAGCCACTGCTGCTGCAGGACTTGTAAGAATAGCCAATAGGACTGTGCAATTCAGTAACAAATCCAAACATTTCCATGTCTATGCTAAACAGATTACTTTTTCCTCTTAACTTTTGCCTCTAGGAATGCAGCCCACTCTTTTGTCTCTACCATCACCCAGACAATGGAATGAAATGGAGTTCTTTAAAATTTTCTATTGCAGTAGGTGCTAATCTCTTACCCAAAAGCTTAAATAACTAAAGCAAGGCCATTCTGAATGCAAAACAAAGCTCTCTACTCTTCAACCTATCAAACAAGCAACGCTTTACCTTGAATTTGATGTTGTTACTTATCAGTTGATTTCCCTTCATGAACTCCCTCTCATTGCCCCGATTCTCTGTCACCACAGGGAAGGCATGGTGGACAGTCGTGCGCAGGATGCTCACAAGGGACTGGATCCGGGTGTGTGGGTACACGTATGTCAAGTTGGGTTCCATGATGTCACTGGCTTGTAGTCTGGAGAAACAGAAATCCAAGATTCTGCATGCATCAGATCAGTGACAGAAGGCTGGTGATGAACAAACATGAAAACAAACCAGTCCCTAAACAAGATCCTGAAGGAGTGTGCTGCAGTTAAATTGTGCTAGCTCCTTTTACCTGTGTGCTCACCTTCACTGTGGTATCAGCAGTGATGGTACACCTGATTTTTAATTTTTTTTTTTAATAACATAACATTTTATCAATGACGAACTAGAGGAAATGTAGAATGTTCTAACTTACAATAAAGTTTCTAAACACTACTGGGAAGAGACAACAGGTGGGAAGAAGATTACATTCCACAAGAAGCGAACTCCAACGGAATGCATTCACAAAGCTCTTGCTGAACTTCCCAAATCCACCCTGCAGATTTCCATCCATCCCCCCCCCCAGAAAGGGCTTTGGCATCTCTTTCCTCTGCAGGCTTGGTACACAACTCCTTTCACAGCAGCCCTCACAGTTGCCCCTCAGAGCAGCCAGGTACGTTGAGGATGAAGCACCACTCCCCTGCATTAAAGCATTTCTGAGCAAGAATCCCCACCACAAACTCTAACCCACAGTCAGACCAAGAGAAGCAGCCTTACTTATCCATTTCCATCCCAGTTTCCCACTCCAGAAGAGGCACTCCTCGCAAGTTCACATGGATATCATAGATGCCTTTGTTGAAAAAGTCTCCTGTCCACTTGGCTACCTGCATAGCAAACACGAGGTCTACTGAGTTGCTGTTCCAAGTGCAAGACCCCTTGGCTTATGACAGCTGTGAAAGTAACAGAGATTCATGGCCAGCACATGTTCAAGCAGTCTGCAAAAAGCCAGAGCTACAGTCCTGCACTCACCATGAGGGTGATCATGATGGGGAGCCCATAGGTGATCTCATTGGTGGACTCAATGAGGATGACAGTCAGGCTGATGGTCATGCGGACCACTCCTCCCAGGAATGCTGCTGCCCCAATCAGCGCAAAGGTTCCTGAGTAGATGTGATCCAGACCAATGTAACTAGAGCAAAGCACAGAGCCCTCAGATTAGAAAAACCTGCCTGAGAGCTCATGGTGCACCTGCAGCATGTCCCTCACACGCACACTTGATGCACCTTTTGAGGAGGTTGGCGACCAGGCGTCCGAAGGCAGCCCCACAAAGCAGTGATGGTACAAACAGACCACTGGGCACAGAGATCCCATATGTCCAGCAGGAGAGTAAGAAATAGAGAAGGAAGAACAGGGATAGGGTGACTGGGCTGAAAGTACCTGCAACACAAGAAGAATCATGACTAAAGGGGCACGTGTCTGTCCAAGACAGAGTCTTGCACCATCCACCCCTCAGCTCACAGCAGGCTCATCTCACAACAGCTACTGAGTCTCCCAGTCCAAACACACATGCAGACAACAAGTAAGTGAAAAGAGAGGAAAAACAGGCCTTTCTTCCCATCAAAGAGACTTTCACCAGTTATACTAGCAGTCCTCCAGAACCATGAAGGCCTGAAGATGCTGTTAGCCTTGTGGTGCTGCTCCAGCTAAGATGAAGCTCTAAAGCTTAAGTGTGGGATGAGGCAGTCTCCTAACTACTTACCATCCTGGTGGAAGAGCTGCAGGATAGCTGACTCCTGAGGGTTGAAGAAGAGCGTGGCCATGTCATTGTATGTTTCATTTGGGCAAAAAAAAGTTTTGATGCTTGAATTTACATCCTCTGATATATCCTAATGCAGAACACAAAAGACACAAAGGGTTAAGACTCACTGTCTCCTACATTAGCCTTTGGGGAGAATGGAAATAACACTTCTGTTACTGTTATCCATTGTCATCACCCCAGGACAGCCATGCTTTGGGAAGTTCAGACCAAACATCAATAGCAGAGATGGGGCCTACAACATCAATGGGCTCCTTGACTCAGAGCCTGAGTTGTTTGTACAAAAGCACAATGTAGGTTTCACTATCACCCTAAGCTCCTGCAACCCTCCATGGGCTCTCACTGCAGTTCTGTTATGGACTGCACGCTGTCAAAAGCTCATTACATGCCTGTGCTTCTCTGCAGGGTGAACAATATGACAGGGAATATAATATTCACACAAGAGTTCCTCACCTGCAGGCTCAGGGTGTCATTGCCACTGTGCCTGCTGGAAGATATCTGCCGGCATTCCCCCAGAACCATGGAGGCCACAAAGACCATGACAGTGGTTGTCAATGACACAAGCAAGCTCTCCAAGACTCTGAAAGACACAACAAAAACCATACACTGAAGCTACACTCAGCACTGTAACCTAGTCCCAGCTCTGCAGATGACTTTGATAAGGCTGCAAGAAGCAGCAGTCATCATAGCTTAGCATCGGAACAAGGGACACCAGAAATCAAGTTGAATTTTGACATGGCTCCCAGGGATCGCCTTAGCTCCCCTTTTTAATTGGCTGCCCCAAAAAGAAGCTATTTCTGCCCAGAGAGCACACAGCAGTCACACATGAAAAGCCCCAGGGTTCAGTAATGAGTTTCACATGGAAACAATGTTCTGTACATCCTTACAGGGTAAAAGGGTAGATAGGACTGGGCAGGGTGATGCACAGTCTCTCAATCTCTTTTCTAAACTGCTGAAATAAACTTGATTTTTCTCTTTAAACCTGGGCTTTGTGTTTAGGAGTTGTCTAGAGCAAACAGCTGCTTTCAGAATAACACAGAAGTTCCCTCTCTAAACAGCACAGATATTGTGAATTTGATTAACCGACATGATTTTAAAAAGTGAGATCAGCTATTCCATCCACATCAGTTTGGACAAGGACACAAAAAAATCCTGCATGGAGACAAAGCTCTGGTTTGTTCAGCCTTTATGATACAGAGCTCCCTCCACTGCCCTTATAAGAGGGATTTCAATTCTCTCTGTACCACCAAAGTCATAAAAAAATTACAGGGACTGTAACATTTGGTTTCTGGTGTTCACTTTTAAGTTCTATGGAGGATTCATTTAGTGATTTTTAAAACAACCAATCTGAGATTTCCTACAATCCTACTCAAAGGGTCTTCTAGACTGATGCTTTTGCTTTGGGAGCAGAGATCCCTGTACAAACTCCATGCACACATACCTGACCAGCTTTGGCTTGGGATGCACATTGCGCATGCGGTACTTGGCAAGCCTCTTGTTCAGGCAGTTAAAGGTGGCTCCAAGAAGGCCTCCCACAATCCCCATCAGAATGAAGAAGCCCAGGTCCACAGCTGTCCAGAGGTGGCATTTCTTATCAGACTCAGAGCACTGTGCAGAAAAGTGTACAAAAAAGGATTACAGTAGTTGCTGCAACTTCCTACCAACACTTCTGTCTCCACCTAGAGATTTTGAGTAGCTAAGATCAAAGGGCAACAATTCTGAGGGTATCAATGTATCGCAGCTAAGTATAAAGTGCCTTCCACTGAAATACAAACATGTGTCAAAAGAAACCTCCAAACTAACAGACAGAAGCACAGGACTAACAAGAGACTGCAGAGTGGGGAAATAACAGCAAATCTTACCTTAAACTCCCCGAAGTTCAGCAGCCCAGGGAGCTGGAAAGACCCCCAGCTTCCAAACTGAATCCCAGAGCGGAAAAAATTCAAGGTGAAAGTGGCAGCCATGGAACAGAAAAGCTGTGGAACGAAAAAAAAAAAAAAAAAAAGATTGGCACAGTCAGCTCTTCCTTGAGACCTATGCCTGGGCAAAGGAACTGACTGTGGAAGGGATCAGAATGCAGAGAGCCCAGGAACAAAAGCCCAGTCTCCCAGGTAAACTAAATCTGCTGCCTAGAGCTGTCCCACAGTTCCAGATAATACCAGGCTTATCTCTGCCCCTGATCTGTAGTTCTGGAACACTGATAGAGCAGGCAACCTTCCTCCTGCCAAGGCAGCTCAGGAAGAGGCAGGATAATCAGAATGTCCTCATGGACAAGCCCTACCAAGGGGAGCCCTCTTCTCAAGAAGAGACACAAAGAGTCAGAATCACCACTCACCACTTTCCATGTAAGTCCCTGGTTCCAGAAGGAGGAACCTTCTTCCAAACTAAAAAGAGTGCCTCCAATTGGGGCTCCAAAGGCAGCTGCAACCCCTGCAGCTGCTCCAGCAGATACAAAATCCCTTTTATCCCTGAGATGAAGAGAAAAACAAGCTCAGTTTAGCAAATTAGAGCTCTGGAGATGCTAGGTTCTGCAAATTAAGAGATTGTCCCCATTTATGGAATATCCCAGGGATTCAGGAATGAGAGTTGGGAGCAAAGCTGGCCATGGCAGACACCACCATTTGTTCATTAAGCTGCAGCATTGTGCTCTTTCTGTAGAGCACAAACACAGAGCAGAATTCTGGTACTACACAACTGCCCAGTATGTGAGGAACCATCCCAAACCATGGACTCCAGCATCATTTGAAAGAATTACAGAAACAAAAGGGCAAGAATTTGTTCAAATTCAGGAGAACCAGCCTTCTCTGTAGTATATCCTAATCATAAGGGGTGAGCTTTCAACCACCCACATTAAAGGTCTGAAATGAGTAGAGATCTGCTGAGGAGCACAAGAGAACATCTATGAACAGGAAGACCAGAGCAGCTTGAAAGAGTGACACCCTGGTGTTGTCTTGCTGCAGAAAGAAACTGCAGGACTCTAGAAAGAAATTGATAAAACAACTGCCTGGTTCACCCCAGCCCACCGCCCTTCTCTCAAGGAAGTCTGCTCACTCATCCTCCTCTCCCCTCCTCCACATCCTGGGTACAGTACCTGTCACTGCAGAAATAGGGAAAGTTAAATTGGATCTTCCTCAAAGAGATGCTCTGGAACTACAAACAAAGTAAAGATTTAGAAACACAGGAGATGGGAACTTACTCTTACAAAACAGTGGCGTGACCAGGACCGTGGCTCAGGCCAGCACTAACCTGTGGCAAGCCCGCACCCACAACAGCACCACTGTGAATCATTGGACCCTCCTTCCCGACAAAAAGACCTGGAAAAACAGAGTTTATTGAGGGAATGCACTTTCCCAACTGCCACCCTCCCTTGCTGACAAAGCCAGAAGAGATCAGCTCACCACTCCCATGCCATGGCACATCTCTGTGCCAAGCCTGCAGCTCCTCACAGGGAGGTGCTGACCTCCTGCTCCCTCAACAACCCCAAATATTTGCAAAGACTTGCACAGATTCTGCACTCCAAGTGGGTGGAATAACTGAAAAACAACTGTGACAAGGACTCTGAACTCTCCAGGTTATTCTGCTCTTCTGCCCTCAGGCTGCTCGTGACAATGTGTCCTGGAACATTTTCAGGTCTCTCTCTTGGATTCTGCCACAGAGTCACATGTGACTAGCCCACTCAGAAAATCACCTGTTTCCCTGATAGTCCTGATCCTTCTATTTATTCTCTACTCTATAAATGCACTCAGGGCTCATGACTCTGCTCCAAATCATCAAAATCATTTTACTGAAAGATAGGGCCTTCTGTGCCCTATAAAAGGAGAGAAAACATTTTTTCCCCTTCAGTGACACCCAACAAGATCAATATATTAGAGCACTCCTTACCTCCTGCCACACTGAAGAGCACTCCTGTAGCTTTGCACACCACTGTCCGCAGACGCACGACCCCTGGAACCTTCACTCCATTGAGGTAGCACTTAATTTCAGGAATTCCTGACCCAGCTGCTACAGGCTGCAGAAAAGAAACACTGACACTGTGGTTCTTTGATTTCATACCTGACCAACAACTTCTCATCAAAGAGCAAGGGACCAAGAGACCCTGCTTAGCTAAATCAAATAGAACTGTGAAACTAGTTTGATGCTTTGGGGCAGAAAGTGTTTCTAGCAAGGATGTTTCATATCAAGGACGTGTGTGAGAGGAAAGGAAGGTTGTGTAAGGAGCAGCAATGAACCGAAGTCTTACTTGGATCAGGACCAGAAGACTGGCAAGAAAAACAAAGGTCAGGTTGAACCCCAGCAGCTCCAACAAGGACAGTGCAAGGCAGCCTTTCTCAGTGCACTCCTCCACCGCTGCAGGGATGGTCAAGGAAAACAACATTCCCCACACCAACACACAATCACTTGGTAATATCTGGGCCTCCCACTGGCCTCAAGAGCCAAGCCTGTGCTTCCTAATCCAGCCAGAGCAGCTAACACAACCTGTCAGGAAGCCAGGCTTCCTTTGCAAAGCTCAACACTGAATTAGGAAGAAGGGAAACCACTCATTCTTTCAGTCTCTGCTTACGTACCCAACACTGGAAACATTTCTTGGTTTCAAGGGCTGAATTACATAAGCAAGTTGAAAACTTGCTTTATTATGAACAACATGCCCAATGGCAAAATTGTGAAAGTCAGCTGTTCTGAGCAAAAGATGGGAACAGAAAGGGAATGGTCACTTGAGTCTAGCAAGGTCCAAGGTAAAAGATACAGCTTTGTACCACCTGAAACTTGAGCTGGGTAAAGAGCCGCACAAAGAAATCTACAAAGAGGCCCACCTGGGAAAAAGAAGACAGAATTGCCATCATTAATCTCTACATACAAATAATGAAGACCACCCTCTAGTTAGTCCTACCAGAAACATGTACACAGGGGGAACAGAAAATGAAGAAGACAAACACATCATTCAGAGTAAAGCAGCTTTGAAAACTCAGATTTCTTCCCTCTCTCTCACTGGGACAGATGCATCCTAGCATTATTCCTGAAGAGATGCATTTCTGCATCAAATTAGTACCCATTAAAGTATTAATCTGGCACCATTTTAATGCCCTCAACATACATAAGGGTACAGAAGAAAGCTGGTATTTAATTGAGCTATACAGTCAGCTGAGCTGATTTTCACAGTTCAGCCACAAACTGTCATCCTTTTTTACTAAGTTGTTTCCTTTGGACAAGTTTTCCTTTATGCAAAATTAAAGGATTTGCCAGACTACTTTACAAAGAAAACTCAGTAAGTTCTGAAAGAAAAAAAAGGCTTCCTGAAAAAGAGTCTATAACAACATGCTATAATTCCCAATATACAACTCCATCTACTAAGCTCTCATCACCATGAAAGAGAATGCTTCCTCTTAACTTTACTCCTTAGCCATTGATTTCTAAATTGTTCCTGCTTAGTCTCCTGAATTTTCCTCATTCCCCAAACAGCATGATCCTTACCAGTCCTGTACAGACTCCAATAGCAAAAACCAGCACCCACTTCACTGCTTCGTATCTCTGGGCTTTCTGTTTGGAAAGAGGATGAAAAAAAGAAAAAGTAAAATAAAAGCAACACAGAAACAGGGATTTTCTGGAAGGTGGGTTTAGGCTCCACAGCTCAACAGCCAGAGGGATAAATCAATAGAAGACTGTGCTGTGACAACAGCAAATTGAAAATAGGAAACTGAAAGACTCAACATCTTGCTTTTTTCAAACCTGAGGATCACAAGAGATGCTGGGAGCTATAATCTCCACTGGTTTTTTGGGTGTTTTTTTGTAATAGAGAAACCAGGAGAACACGTAGAATTTCAGTCATAAATAAGAAAAGAATTTCCATAAAATTTCCTGCAGTGCATATTTAGAATCACAGAATGATCTGGGTTGGAAGGGACCTTAAAGCTCATCTCATTCCATCCTTCTCCATGGACAGGCACACCTTCCCCTTCCAGGCTGGTCAAAGCCACATACAAAAAGGTTTTGAACACTTCCAATCCACAGTTTCTCTGGACAGTTTCTGGACGGTTTTAGCTTATGAAAGAACAAGGTCCTACCTTGTTGTCCATGCTTTCCAAAATTTCCAAGTACGGGTCATTGATACAGCGATCATAATCCAAGCTCTGAAATGTGAAAAGGTCAATTTAGGAGAGTCAGCTGCAACAGGCTGTTAAAAAATTACATCTAGAAGACCTTGTTAAAGACCACAGAAGTCATTGCTACCCCCACAGTAGATTCTGCAAACAACAGTAGGAGATAATAGTCCTGGAAACAACTTAATTTAAATATTTACATCAGTCAGACCCTGAAAATCACGAAGTGAAAGAACAGAACAATTTCACTGCTCAAGCTGAGAGAGACAGTGAAACAAACAGAAGCACAACTGATTTATACATCTTTATATTAGAGAAGTCACACTGTACAGTTTTAGACTTTATGTGTCTCCACTTTGACAGTGCAGGGACAACACTGGATCTTTATATTCACCCTCTCACTGCAACAGGAATACTAGCTAGGAACTCCTGTGCAGATGAACCGTATCAATTCTTCAGTTTATCACAGCAAAGAGTTAACAGCAATAGTTTCCCACTCACACTCACAAAACTCCACTAGTTCTATCCACATCTTCACCTTTTCAAGCCAAGCTGTAACAGGCTGGGCTGGTGGCACCCATAATGACAGCAACTGTTCTGAATACTTCAGGGCCACCAGACAGTGATGCAAAAAGCAAAAACCTCCTGTAAGCAGCAGAATCTGATATATGGCAAGATCTGCTGTGAGCCAGCATGACAACACAGACAGCAGAAAGGCAACTGTACAGATACTTTCTATAGTCACCACAAAACAAGGCCACCAGAGCCTATAAATCTCACACTGGAAAAGAGGGAAAATGCACCAGGCTCTGAAAACGAATTTTCTCAACAAGAATCTGACTTGAGAGCCAACATTCAACCTACTCACAGAGTTTTAACCCAGAAACATACAAAGATGAGGAACAGTTCTTTGCAAGCACAGCAACTCTTGGTATTTCTGCTGATGTCAATGCAACCTAATGATCCACACTGAGTATCTGCCCTGTTAAAAACTCAAACAGATCACAACCTGTCTGCAGTTCTTATCACAATAATATCAGATTAGTTAATTCCCCACCTCATAGTCTTTGCGTGGAAGGATTTCATCCTCCTCTTCATGAGTTTCTCCCAGGATCGTCTGCAAAACAAATGAAGGAAAAGGAAAACCATGAAGGGAACGAATGCATTACAGCTGTTCATGAACACTGCTAGCAAAGCCAAAATACACAAGTCCTATACCACTGCTGCTGATAAACTGGGAGTGTGGATTACCAGATCACCACTTGTTTTGTGGTAACGCTAAAGGGTCTTACCTTACAGCTTGTCCCTCAGCCAGAACACACATCACTTCTACATAGGAGCTCCCAAGAGCAAAGCCCTAAACCCACATCCCTTTTCCTTCACAGCAAGGGTTACAGGGGAGCACAGGACAACAATTCTGAAGAGACACTCCGCAGTGCTAGAGTCAGAGAGAGCTCCTGCCAGGACCACTCCCCGTTACAGCTGCGAGGGGCAGCGGCTTCAGGCGCTGGGTTACGAGGCCCAGACAAAGGATGGGCCCGGGGCAGGGACAGCGCGGGGCTCCGCCACTGCCGGCGAAGTACCAGGCCCGGAGCAAAACGGGCGGGAACCGGCTGGGAACGGGTGTGGCTGGGGCGAGCATCGGATAAGAGACTGGGCCACGAGCAGCACCCTAAGGTGGGGACACCGGGCTCTGAGGCGCGGGGCCCAACACTACAGCACCGCTCCCCGCCCGCCTCAGGCGCTCCCCAGAGCCGGGTGGGGCCGGGCCGAGACCCGGGGTGAGGGGGCTCCGCCAGCACGCACGAATCCAGAGGGGGTCAGGGGGCAGCTGAAGGAGGGCGGCCGTACCAGCTCCTCGGGGGTGCGGCTCTCCCGCTCGCCGCAGCAGCAGCAGCACAGCCCGGCCCCGCACCCGCACCGCGCCATCTTCCGCCGCCGGCCGCGCCCCGCCCCGCCCGCCGCGCGTCACTCCGCGCGCGGGCCCCGCCCACACGGCATGGCCGCGCCCCCGTAGCCCCCACGGCCCGATTGGCCTCGCCTGCGCATGGCCCCGCTCCCACAGCCGGCCCGACCGCGCCCCCGCCGTCCCACCTGGCCGCGGGCCCGTCCCTCGCCGGCAGCGTTCCCGCAGCCCCGCCGGTCCCGCCTCGTCGGCCCGCTCTGGCCGCACCCCCGAGGCCCCGTCCGGCCCCGCCGCCGCAGCCCCGCCCCCGCCCCGCGGCGCCATGTCGGGTGAGGGCAGCCGCAGGGTCACACGTGACCCGCCCGGCCGCGGCCGCCCTTAAAGCGCGGGCAGCGCCCGGCAGCGGCCGCAGGTGAGCGGGGCCCGGGAGCGGGGTTCTGTCGCCCACGGGGGTCCCGTCGCCCATGGGGGTCCCTGGCCCGGCTGGCTGTCTGCCGGCCGTGCCGTGCTCCTGGCGGGGTTAGCTGCGGTGACCTGCCTGGCTCCGAGGCTCTCCCGGCACCAGGCACCGCAGGTGCTGCTCCTCGCCTTCTTCCCCGCGGGGCTGCCGGGCTCCCTCCGGCCCTTTCCCCGTGGCCGAGCCGCTGCCCCATCAGCTGGTGGGTGGTGGGTGCAGCCGCGGGCCCTGCGTGGCCCGCCTGGCCGCCAGCCGGGTGCCGTGGCCCCGGAGCAGCCCCGGGTGCCGCGGCCCGTGAGAAGCGTGCAGCTGCGGCAGCCGAGCTTAGTCTGGAGGTGAAACAGCTCAGGGGAATGCAGACTCCGCGCTCTGTGTGTCGGTGTCAGCTCAGGGCTGGAAGGAGTTTGGATGCCACCAGCATCATAAAAACATAGCAGGTGCATCCGTAGTGAGCATCAGGAATGTGCTGAGCCACGGATCTTTGAGCTCCGCAGTGTGACAAAGACAGGATAGGAGTGTTGACAAGTGTTAAAAATTGTCTTACTTTGCTGCTGTTCTTGTTGTTTAGGCTTATCTTTTTTCTCTTTGCAATAACTAGAAGCATCTGCCAGCAAATCTGTGATGCATATCATGGTAAGGAAATTGTTCCAAATGCTGCCTGTAGACAAAAATCTAAGTGTGCCTTTTTTATGTCTTCATGATTTGATATTGCTAGGAAGGTAAGGACCTTTCCTCAACAGCCAGTCTGATTTTATAGAGATGTAGAGACCTGAACCTTTTTTCCATGTGATGGGTGTTAAAATCTCAAATCAGAAAACAAAGCTCCTTTGATTTGCCTACAGTGCTGTGCCATGCTTGCTGGGAATGCGATCTTGGGAGCTGACAGCATGTGATTGTGAGCCGCTAGCTTGATCACCAACGTGTGCTTGGGCGTAATTCTCCCAGATTAGTGCATGTGGATGTCAGGCAGAGTCCTCTGAGCTTAGTCAGGGCTGTGACTGTGCACCCAGCTGGGTTTGCTTCACTTATCAGTAGGTCTGTGCCGCTGATTTTTACTGCTGCTGCTGTGTTGGTATACAAAAGATCTAATGCTCCCAGTTCCTCTTGGAACAGAAGGCCTGGGCTTCTTTCTCACATCTCCTGCCAGCTGGAGAGGTTCCTCAGGTGATAAAAGTAGACTTTCTCTCAAAGGGTTTTGTTTGATTGGCAACTCAAGTGTAAACAGTAGAAGATGAGTTCAAAGTCTTCTTGGCTGAACTAAACCCACAGACCTTATGATAAGGACAGAGAGTGTTGTGGTTCACATAACTGCTTCCTCCAAAACAGGCTCCAGAGTTATGTAATGCTTGGACAACATGCTGCTTCCCAGTGAGAATTTTACGTTTTGGCAGGTACTAAAGCAAATAACACAGATCCAGATTTTGTGGCAGCTCTTCCATCACTGTCTGTAATCCTGACCTCATTTTAAAGGCACAGGATGGGACATTTTGCAGAGCTAAGTGGAGCTGGGTATCCTAAACCTATTTGTACCACTGACTTGCAGTGCTCTTTTGCTTTCTGATCTTGTTGCAAGACAGTGAGATGAGGATGGTCCCTGCTGGCCTTGTTTCCAAGCAGCCACAATTGTTGACAAAGGAACAGTGTGTCTGGTAAAGAGTTGAGTGTGTGCAATGGGACTGGCATAGGGGACAGTTGTCTGTGGAGATGGTGTGTCTTGTGGTTGGAAATGCAGGTGTGAAGCCAGCAAAGAGAGCAAAGGACAGTTTGTAGGGGTGGCCTGGTCAGAGGGGATTCTGTCCTTTGTTTCTGACATAGCAATAGTTTGTGCATTCTTGAGTACCTGCCCTATTAGCACTGACTTTCCTACCTGCACTGTAAAGCAGTGCTGCCTTTTGGGAACACACAGCATGGAAACTCTGAGGATGCATACAGTCTAAGAAGAAGCTGCAGTAGACAATAAAAAATATCTGCTGGCATGCCCAGCCCAAGGCCACAATCACTGTCAGCACTATCTAAACATATGCTTTTTACTGTGTTTTCACCAGATTTCCCACTACAGCTTACAGTGAAAGCTGGCAAAAGGTGATGGTGATGGATGTTGGGTCTTGGCTTAGGCTCCTTTAATCATCTGCTGCTCAGCCCAGCAGTGCCTGCTCCGTGCAGAGACCCGTGTACCAACCATGCTCTTTCTGCTCCCCTCTCCAGAGCTCCCACCATGGTTAATGAGACCCAGCATACCTGCAGTGCCAGCTCCAGCTCCAGGTCTGATGGCAGCAGCAGCGGGAGCGAGAGCTCCAAGGACAACTCGCGCTGCTCCACCCCTGTCCTGGACGCCGACCGGCACGAGCGGCTGCGGGAGAAGATGCGCCGCCGGCAGGATGCTGGAGACAAGTGGTTCTCCCTGGAGTTCTTCCCTCCACGCACAGCCAATGCTGCTGTCAATCTCATCTCCAGGTGAGTGCTGCGGGGTAGGAGAGGGGAAGTATTTGTGGTGGAGGGCAGGGAAATAGCTAACGAGGCAGGCTCTGCCCCATGCTCTGTCTCCCCTTCCAGGTGATGAAGCAGGTAATGGGGCTGTGCTTTCCTGCTGAGGAGGGTAATGGACACCAAGTAACTTGTCTTCCTTGGAGGCCCTGAAGAGCTAAGTGTCACGGTGGGATTACTGAGGGGCCAGGTCGTTTCCCCACTCCCATGCCCTGGGAAGATGGAGTAACCCCAATGTCACTTTCTGGGTCTGAAGCACAATGCTGGGGCAGAAAAGTAACTAGTAAAAGCAGAAAATATTCCTTGATGGACAGTGTGCCAAAATCTCTGAAACAGATTCCCATTTCCTTTCAATATTCATCCAGCCACTATGGTTTGTGCCTCTGTACTACAGTTTTAGCCTCTGACATAGGTATCCACATCTACGTGCTAAATGAAAGCTGATAGGTCACAGCAGAGCTAGGAGTTATTCTGGAGCCCCAGGAGCCACCATGGACACCTGGGGACAAAAGAGTATTTCGTAATTCTTTTTATAATTGCTATAAGCCAATGCCTGAACAGAAGGAGCTGTTCCACCTTGGAGTGGGAGAGAGACAAGTTAGGGAAGCCCTGTGGCCTCTACAGTTCAAGCTGGCACAGAGGACTGCACCACAGTCTTCTATCTTAAAAGGAGTGGGACTTGCATTGCTGTCTGTCAGAAGCTGTATCAGTCTATTAGAGCATGCAGGGAGAAAGTCTGTTGTACAGAGAACACCTCCATTGCCTCTTTTTCTATAAAATTGTAAGCTCTTCCCCATACAGCCTTCAAGGATGGCTTTCCTCATTTACATCAGCCACTTGCTAAGCTCTTAGTGCAACACTTTTGTGGTCTATCCTGTTGCTGTCATCCAAGCTCTCTCTGCCTACTGCTGGCATTCTAGCAGTGAGCAAGATAGGCAAATCCCCTCCCTGTGCCTTGAATATCTGGTGTAGGCTAAGACAGCTTTAAACCCCACAGGTTTGACCGCATGGGAGCAGGTGGTCCCCTCTTCATTGATGTGACGTGGCATCCTGCAGGGGACCCAGGATCTGACAAGGAAACCTCTTCCATGATTATTGCTTACACTGCAGTGAACTACTGTGGCCTGGAGACCATCCTGCACATGACATGCTGCAACCAGACCAAGGATGACATCACAGGGCATCTGCAGAAGGCCAAGCAGCTCGGGTTGAAGAACATCATGGCCCTGCGTGGAGGTGAATCCTTCTGTCCTATGATGTGTAGTGCAGAGGCTCTGCTGCTCTTGTGTCCAATTCCAGTGAAGATTTAGGGGTTCCTTCTGCAGGAGTTAAATACTGAGACTGTGTTTCACCTGAGCCCTTCAGCTCAGCAGTCCCTTCAGCTCAAGGGCAGACAAAACCAGTCCATAGGTAAAACTGCAGATTTGGGAGTTCATCTGTTGTCCTTTTGATAGCAGGTTTTTACAGAACTACCAGATCTGAGTTCAGCAAACAGTTGGAGAGAGCTGTGGATTCATTCTCTTTTCAGATCCTATTGGTGAGGAATGGGAGGAAGAAGTAGATGGTTTCAACTATGCTGTTGATCTGGTTAAGCATATTCGCAATGAATTTGATGATTACTTCGACATCTGTGTGGCAGGTAAATGCCTTCTATTGCAGAGTGTGCAGTAGGGTCTGAGACAGGGAAATCAGCTCAGCAGTCCCTCCCTGGACCTGGGCTGTGACACTAAAATCAGATTGGATACTTCCTAATTTCTGCATGTTGTCCTGACCACGTTTTTCATTTTTTTTCCCCTTCTCCCCAAAGGCTACCCCAAGGGTCATCCTGAAGCAGAGAGCTATGAGGCAGACCTGAGGCACCTGAAGGAGAAAGTCTGTGCTGGAGCAGACTTCATCATTACACAGCTTTTCTTCCGATCAGAAACCTTTTTCAAGTTCATGAATGATTGTCAAGCCATTGGCATTACCTGCCCCATCATTCCTGGCATCTTCCCTATACAGGTGAAATCCAGTAATTTGGATTTAGGGGAGGGAGTTAGGATCTAGGATGTTAGGTATTTGTGGGTCAGGGCCTGGGAGAGGTCTGTAAATATCCTGCACAAAATTTCAGGGAAGAGAGACTGCTGAATGTAATAAATCTGTTGGTGGTATGTCAGATTAAACTCTTAGGCAGCTAATAAGCTGA